AGGAATGACAAAGTGACACTGCAGAAGGCATGTGCAGTGGGAGGGATTGTTGGACCTTCTACCACACCAGGTATGAGATTAGAGAATCTGGTAGTGTGAGAATGGAAGGAAGGGGTTGGGTAAGAGTCATTACTTTTACGATTTGTCCCTTTCAGCTGAATACAGTGCTCTAGATTTGTTCTGATCAATTCAGAATGCAGACGATTATTATTATCTGGATACTCTTAAGGTAGACTAAAGTTGTATTTACATTTTTTAGCAGCATGTGACATTATTTGCTCACGCTGAACTTGTGACCATTTTGCAAACTCAGCTCTTTTTTTACACAACATGCTGCCAACTGAGGTCTTGTGTGGTGAATTTTTGTAAACCTAAATGTAGAATCTCACCACAGAGGATACATAAAAATAATAATTTTTTGTGTGAAAATATGTATCTAAAGTTGGCATTAAAAGAGTCTGTGAGCCTTGCACTCTGCTCCTAAACTTGGAATTTGCCTAAAGCCTTTTTTTTTTTTTTTTTTTTTTTTGCTTCTCTAAAAAATATTTTCTTTGGTTGTGTTTTTGTTGTTGTTGTTTTTGTTTTTTTTTTTTGCCGCTGTTTAGCAGACTAATGTATATGTTGCCATTTTCTACTCATCCACAGTAAGATCATATTGAAGTGCTTTGATGGAGTGTTTTAGAGCATTTTAACTTCCTTCTCTGCTCCTGAATGACCTACTTAAACTCACCATCCCACAACCACTTGGGCACCCTGCTGTTATCCTTTATCCAATATGTCTTGCTGTGAGTGGAGTTGGGTTTCATTATAAGAATTCTTCCAAAAATGGCAAATTATTTCTTCTGTTTCTTGGTTTGTTTCATATTCAGTGAGATTTGGAGGCTGGCATCCATCTGTTGTATTGCTAAACAAAAACACCTGAGACTGGATGATTTGTAAAGAAGAGAGGTTTATTTGGCTTATGATTCTGGCAGCTGGAAAGTCCAAAGGCATGGGGCTGGCATCAGGCCAGCGTCTGGAGCCATTTCATAATCCAGCAGACAGAAGCAGGAAGGAAGACAGACATACACAGAGAGATAGTGACCTGTGGGCAGCCATCTTATGTAACAACCTGCTTTCACAAGAACTTACCCCTTCTCATGGGAGCAAGAACTAACTCCCCCTCTCAAGACACAGCAGTAATCAGTTCTTGGGAAGCTGTGCCTCCATATTCTAAGCACTGTCTATTAGACTTTACTTTTTTTTTTTTTTTTTTAGGAGAGATTTTTGCTATAGGGTGCGTGCACTCACCAGAGAGACAGAGAGATAGAGAGAAAGTGAGAAATCACCCCCTGGCGGTGATTTTCCTCTAGGGATTTTGGTCACACACTCTCATGAGCCCAGTGTGAGTTTCAAGCCTTCAGGTCTGAG